AGGGGTGCGGGAGGGGAGCTCGGGAAAGGGGTCCAAGGGGTGCTCTTGGGGAAGGGGTGGGGAGGGGTAGTCAGGGAAAGGGGTGCGGAAGGAGTTTTCGGGGTGAGGGATGCAGGAGGGGTGTTCTGGGGTAAGGGGTGCGGGAAGGATGCTCGGGAAAGGGGATACAGGAGGGGTGCTCGGGAAAGGGGTGCAAGAGGGTTGCTCGGGGGAAGGGATGCAGAAGGGGTAGTCAGAGAAAGGGGTGTGGAAGGGGTTCTCGGGGCAAGAGATGCAGGAGAGGTGCTCCGGGGGTCGGGATGCAGGAGGGATGCTCGGGGAAGGGGTGCAGAAGGGGTTCTCGGGGTGAAGGATGCAGGAGGGGTGCTCCGGGGTCGGGCTGCTCGCAGGGAGGGATGCTCGGGGGTCGGGAGGCAGAAGGGAAGTCTCAGGGAAAGGGGTGCAGGAGGGATGTTCAGGCGTCAGGCTGCTCGGGCATCGGGATGCTTGGAGGAAGGGGTGCAGGATGGATGCTCAGAGGAAAGAATGCTCAGTGATTGGGATGCAGGAGGGATGTTCAGGGGTCAGGATGCAGGAAGAAGCTGGGAGTAAGGGGTGCTTGGAGGCTGGGATGCAGTTGAGGCTCTCGGGAACTGCGCTGCTCAGAGGGAGGGCTGCTAAGGGGGTGCAGGAGGGCTGCTTGGGAGGGCTACTCGGAGGGATACTCAGGGGTTGGGATGTAGAAGAGGGCTTGAAGGGAGGTGTGCAGGAGAGATGCATGGAGTAAGGGCCGCTCGGAGGGTCAGAATGCAGGAAGGATGCTCGAGGGAGGGGTGCTTGGAGGGAGGGGTTCAGGAGAGAGGACCAGGATTCAAGATTCCCAGAGAGATGCTCAGAAAGAGGGATGGTCTGTGGCCAGGATGCAGGAGGGAACCCTGGAGAACAGATGCTCAAGGGTTTGGGTGTTTGGGGGGTCAGGCTACAGGGGGATGCTTGGGAGGAGACATACAGGAGCAACATTGGCAAGTGGGTGTGTGTACATTCCCCCGGTGCCTGCAGGGTTTTGCAAACCTGTTTACAAAGCAGCATCCTGTTATGGGAAACTGGCCAAGAGGGGTTCAGGTTTTCCTCAGGGAAGATGACCTGGGGAGAGGCACCCAGGAATGATCCCAACTCATAGGGAGCCAAAAGACCCTAAAAGTGAGGATCAAATTCAGAGCAGTCCAGATCCAAACCCCTTCCAGGTTAAATCTGCCTTGGCTTGGATGTTGCAGCTGTTACTGAAGGATAAAGGCAGGGGTTGAAATATTTGCTACTTCTGTGAGGTTTTCAAAATGCTTTGGGAACTCAGCTATACCCTGCTGTGTTTGTATCACGGGACTCACAGCAGAGAAATTTCAGCTGCATGCCCTGCCTCAGGCTGAAAGGATGTAGCAAGGGGCTGAGCTTTCACCTGGGGAGGGGGTTTGAGATGCCTTGGCCATCTTTGTGATGGAGTCCATAAAGTTGTGGTCTGGAGGGAAACTGAGGTCTCAGATGAGTGTCATAGCCCATTTTTCCTGAAGGCACCACCAAAAAATTGGAGATCTCTTTATCTCTAAGCAGTGAGGCAGTGTCTGATGCCAGCGTTAGCAGTGTCAGCCCTTGGTCCAGTATGCCTTGGTGAACAGGACGTGGTTTTTCCTTGGACTATATCCAGGGGTTTAATTTTTATACACAGACAAAAGCAGACAGAAATCTGAAGAAAGTAGAGTGATGTTAATGCTATAAATACCTTCCAGAAAACAACCAGCTTTCCGGTGTATTCACAGTCTCCAGGGATGGTGATAGAAAGGACTCTGGCCTGAAGGTCAGCGCAGGATCTGGGCACTCCCAGTACAAAACCCTGTGGAAGTAGGGTAGCACAGCCCTGGCTGAGAGCTCTGGCTAAGGAGGAGAGCAGAAGGGTTTTGGGGGAAGAAAAGGAAGATATGTTCATCTGGGGGATGTGAGGAGGAGTGGCTGTTCTGTGAATAACTTACCTAGCACGGGCAGGACAAAGCTTTTGGGTATCCAATGCCAAATACATTCAGACAAATTGAAAAGTAACCAGGATGGGTTATTTTTGCCAATGGTTGGTGTTGGCCTTAACCACAGATCCAGTGGTTTGTCACTGCTGGTCTAGTGGTTAGAGCAAGTCCTGCCTTATGTGCCTTTTTCTGCTGGTTTTCAAATGAAATGGGAGAGAGGAATTTAATTCCTTATGCCTTGTTTTCTGCATCCATACCAGGATGGCTGATAATATGGTAGTGATGGTTTTGAGATGCTTTATCATAAAAGGATACCAGTAGGTATTAGAGATGTGTGTATGTAGCTGTTTAGTGGAGAGGAGGAACAGAGCTGGGAGGGGGAGTCTGGAGAAAGAGGATGAAATATTAGGGCCTTGGGCTTTATTTGGTATTATTGTGCTGATCGCTTTGACATCCAGCCAAAGCTTTTTTTTTTTTTTTTTTTTTTTTTTTTTTAATATTATTTGATGACTGAGTGCCTAACAGCAAAAAGCACAGAGCAAGAGAAGAGACTGGGGGATTTGCGTGCACCAAAGGGATCAAGGAAGAAGCACTGGAGAAAAAAGAGAGCAGGGTAACTAAGATAGATGAGTTCAGGTAGGGCAGCCAGCCCAGCACTGTTGTCTGTGAATTAAAGCCATGGTAGGTCACGTGGAGATGGCTGATAGAATTGTGTGATGTGGTCAAATGTATTTATAATGTTTTAGAGGAAAGAGGAATGATGGAATATGTGGTACTGCAGAAGAAAGGGAAAGGGTCTGCGGTGGTCTGTGGATCTAAACCATGAACAGATTTTGGTAAAGGTGTGGACTACTGTATGGTAGATTTAAGCTGGCTGCAAAGAGATGTCTTTTGGTTAGTTACTTTGTAGGGACCTCTCAGAAAAGTGTGTGTCACCCCAGGAGGGAAACTCCCGGTTCCCAAGGTAGAGCTCCTGATGTACAGCAAAGCCGTGCAAGATGCCCACAGTCCAGTTGCATGACGGTGCTCAAATAAATCTTCCCCCTCCAGAGAGGACAGAAAGCTGCCGAGCAGGGTGAAAGATCCTGCAGAACCTGGGGGACCACCTCCTGCTCCAAATCTGCTACTGCCTGTGGCTGAAGGGGAATCTCCATCGGTGCTGTACTAAAGGGCAGTTCTGATTCACTGCAACAGCGGACAGGAAAGCACGAAGAGCCTTGCCAGCCAAAAGCAATTAGCTCTAGTGAGTAGGAGACACACAACACAAGCGCAATCTGTCACTGGAAAGCAGTTTGGGACAGGATGCGAAGAATATGTGATCTCCTTGAAAAGAGAAGGTGAATTTGGAAAGGCAGATTATAATTACGTGAAAAAAAAATTTGGCCAGGCTTCTGTGTCGGCAATTTTTCCCTGTTATAGCTGCAGATGGGTAGAGTCTCACTTCTGTTTCTACAGGGACACTTAGCTGGATTTTTCTGCAGTTATTATCTCTGAGTTTCTGCCCAGATCTCACAAAAATGGACTTGATCCTCTGCTCTGCCATGGCACTTCACTGGGTACAACTCGGATAGCAGCTGAATCGAGCAAAGTCAGGTGGAATGGTGCCATTAATATATTTGCAGGTCTGGAGAGGTTTGGCTGCTGGATGTGCCACAACCCATCGCATTTCCTTGAGCAAATGGTTTGATCTGAATGTGCTTCAATATTTCATACGGCTACAACAGCATGAATGATAACTGCCATGTTGTTTAAATGAGAGATATATTCCCTTGGGTATATTCCTATAGATAGAGTTTGTAGGCCAGTGGGCTGGATTTCAGTTGCAGTTTCCAGGCATTATTACAGTGCAAATAATATAAAAGGGAGGCTGAGGCTTTAGAAAATAATGAATAGCTGGATGTGAAATAATTAAGAAAGAAGAGAGAAGCAGCACTTGTGTCATTGGGAGGACTCAAGGTAGAAACTACAGCATTAAGTCGCTGTTGGGGCTTGACGTATACACAGAAGATCATTGAATTGGAATCACATTAATTAAGGTTATTTAGTCAGAAAAAAACTAGATCTCAGCTAAATGAAGAGTATAACCAGATGTGTAAATTATACTAGATCGTGGAGAGACAGAAGTAGGAGGCGCAGTAGCATGGATGAGGGCCCAGCAGTGGCCTTTGTTTGATGATTTCCAACTCTGCAGGGCAATTGCAATTTCTTACTAGCTATATAAAGGGCTTTTTAGCCTTTTAGAAAAGTAGTTACAGGGTAATGACAAGAAGGACTATCTGTGACTGTGCGATACGTGCTGGTCAGGCTCTATCTGTTGGATGTGGTAATGATGAGTTACAGGCTGTGGTTTCCCCTCCTTGGCTGAATGAACTGGCAGGTACTTTGGACCAAAAAAATTTCCCCTTTGCCTATGAATTAAGGGGATGTTTGTTCCCTGCAGAAAAAGTCATTAGGACACAATTGCTTTGATGTTCCTGGAAAACAGACCTAGAGAGGTGTGTGACAACAGGGGCTGGTCCTTGTAAGAAGTTGTATACCAAGTCATGGCAAATTTTGTAGAAATTT